ATCCTGTTTGGATGGTTTTTACATCTCTAATGACAATGGTCCAGTTTTATCTCTGTGTTACTTCACACAGCACAAGAGCCTGGACTGCAAGCTTGAACACTATGAAGAAAATAAAATGCCAGTTTGGTACATTTTGAAGCATTTGACATGAGTCGACATTAAGCTGCTTTCCTTAGCAAAGGTACTTACCACATTGTACTGGAGATGTAATCCTCAAAACCTCTTTGAGAGGTGTTATTTTTTATACACCAATCTCTTCAGAGCCTTAGAGAATACACACAAACCCCTTAACCTTGCTGCAATAGCTGGTTACTTTGAAACTGAAGTACTGTGACCTACCAGGAACGCAGCATTGCCCTTGTCTTTGACAAGCTAAACCCCAAGCTGTAGAAAGGAAAGCTACGTTACCATCCACACAAACACCACCACACACAGCATATTTGGGAAACAATGAGTTTTCAACTTCCAACACTGGTCAAATCACATGAATTACTGAATTTTAACTCTGTCAGTATTGCAAACTTAAGACATTTTAATGATGTGCATTACATCAGATTTTACAAGAACAAACCTGTGTCATTTTTAGTCTGTTTTAAGAAATGAATGTGTAATGCTCTCAAGAATGAAATGGCAGCAGAAATAGTTCTGTGGATGAAATTTAGGCCTATTTACTCATTAAGAGTGCCTGTAAGTTTACTCCACACACAAGCCTGAACTAATCTGTGCTTTTCCTGCAGCTGAGTAAAACTGCACTTTCTTGGCTTTAACCTACAATTCCCAGAGCCCATTGCAACACACCCTCGTCACGTTAAGGAGTCCTCAGCTACAACAGTTTTTATGAAGACAAAGATAGGTTCTTCAAAAGTTCTGAACTTCTACTTGAAACTCCTTCTCCTACCCCTCATCTCGCACCCAAAGTTCCTATTTTTATGGTATATGGTTTGAACAGTAGTTTCCATAATCCTGCCAGTGTATCCTTGCAATAAAAATACTGGCAGAGAAGTAATAAATCAAGAGGGAAAACAACATTTTCCATGCTGGAACACATTTTAAGGCCATAGGTGATCCGTGCAGGGAATGAGAACAGCACAAATCATGTTTTGATCGAGGAGCAGAGTGATTAGAAATACACTTAAATTGGAAAATACTCAACCAAAAAGCCTGAATTAAGAGCATGCTGAGTGCCAGAGGTTGGAGATGCAGCATGTGTTACTAAGCTTTTTGCATTAGACAATTAAATGAAGCAATTAGATTTCAGAAAGCAGCCAATTATTGTAGGGCTGAAACAAAGACTGGAGGAAATACAGCTGCCTGTGTGTGGGGAATGGAGAAAAGGAAAACAGCATTGCAGCTGAAATATTCATGACACCCAATTTGTGCAAGACTTCAACTGAGTAATGACGATCTTAATATAGTATCTATAATTGATATCTGAAGAAATCATAGGAAATGGCAAACAAGTGCTGAAAGGGACTGTGAAGCGACATGGAAAAACAATCCTCCAACACTGAGAATTCTCCTGAGATGACACTTTTTTACTCTCGACATGGTTTGATGGTTGTTTTCTCTCCAGGCTGTAAGAAACAAGACTCTCAAGAGACTAAAAGGAAAAGGTTTTAGTAATTCCTCGCAGGCAGATCCTCTTGCGGAGTATCATAGAGGATTTGATAAAATGGGTAATTAAGTCACTCATCTCATGGATTCAAAGCTTTTAAGTGCATGCTATCGCTTCGGTGCCAGCATATCCTTCACAAAACACCAAAGCCTCTATCAATTTAACTTAACACATCCTCTAAAAGCCTGAACAGGTTTAGAATAAGCTATAAACTATGTTTTTAATTAATTATAAACCAAATACAACATCCTTCCCACACAATGCCTAGCAGAGGAAAAAGAAGAAAAGAATTGTAGGGCACTTACAGAAGACCTGTCTCCCATGCATACACTGCACTGAGACTCAGTTTTAGGCTCCTGAGGGCTGGCAGAGATTTGTTTTCCCTTTCAGTTCCCAGAGTGACTGCATTGAAATGCTGCATTTCCTGCCAGGAAAACTACAGCCCTTTTAGCACATCTGGGTAGCGAGGCACTGGAACAGGCTGCCCAGAGAAGTGGTAAATGCTCCATCCTTGGCAGTGTTCAAGGCCAGGTTGGATGGAGCCTTGGGTGACATGGTTTAGTGTGAGGTGTCCCTGCCTAAGGCAGGGGTTGGAACTAGATGATGTTAAGTTCCTTTCCAACCCAAACTATTCTGTGATTCTGTGACTTCTGAGACATTCAGCGACAAAGCTTTTTGCCTTTTTTTTTTCCTCTGTTCCAAGAACATTGGTGACATAACCTGTGTTTAGCACTACCCCTTGCTTTAAAAGCGTCCTTCACCTTCTCCCAATTAGAGATCTCCTAACAGACAGCAATCCCATAATATAATAAAACAGTCGAATTTATTTTGGTTTTAAGGAAGTATTTTTTAATGAAATGTGCACAAAGTGATACAATAGAAAACTTGGAATTAAAAGCTATAAAAATAACTTGAGAGTCCAAAAAGCTTCACTGGAACATAAAAGCTCACTCCCTGAATCACAACACATCTCCTTACAAACCAAACCTTTAGCCTTTCCCCTCCTCCCAATGAAGTTTTTGTCCCACTCATTCCATTTGATACTTTCCTCATATAATTAAGTTCTTAATGTCTAATAAAAACAGTTTTAATTGGCCCTGAGGTGCTGCATGGATTGATGCAGTCTAGATCATTGCTTTCATAGGCACTAACACATCCACGGTATACAAATCCTTAAAGAAACAAGGGATTTTATCTTATGAGGCAGAATATTTCTCACAGCTGACAAGCACTTGGCAACAAGAAGTTATTCCTACTGATTCTTAAAATACCTTGGTTAAATGCAGCAGGCAATATACTTCTCTTCATATTCCAGATAAATCTATCTTCTGAGAACCAGAAGACTTAGTACCAGTGGATAGCAAAAACATATTATCGGCCAGATTGAACTCGGGAACTGTTGCAAAGCTGTTTCACCACAAACATAACTCATCTTGCTAACCTCGCTTCTGCTCCACTCTGCTCACACAGGTTGCTTAGAAGCATAAAGTAAAAAAGGCTAAAGCAGTAATTTTCTTTAAATACTGTAGAATGAAGACTGTATCTATTACATAAAACCCTCCAAAACACTTGAGGTGGTTACTTAGCTGAAGTGCAGCACTGGATCTCCTATTGGAAGTCTGGAGCTGACAACTGACACTACTGTTGGAGCAAGTACTTACAGGACTGTACTTGCCCAAAAGGCAGACAAATGGTAACTTCTATATTACCCATCGCTTCTTTGCATGGGTACAATCACTGATATTTAATATACTATGATTAGAAAAATACTTCTGAGAATCATTGAAGGAAAAAACTTACTGAAATGCTAAGTTCATGTTATAGCACTTTCCATTAACTACGATCAAGTGTCATCGTCTAAAGCAGGGGCACCAAGTGCAACAAAAACTTGAAAGTCATCAATGTCACAGCATTTATGCAGAGCAGTGGTACATTACGTGCTGGCACCCGGCCTTCACAGTAAGGGCACCATGTAAAACAACTGAAAGGAGCTCAAAGTCACAGTACAGTAGCAAAAAAGGAGCCTCTCCACTCCCAGTATCCATTTACGTAGTTAGAAGGATGTCTGCAGTAACAAACAATCCTACTCATTCAAACAACAACGATTTCAGAGGACTTTCACCCTCATATAGGGAATACTCCTCAGAGGCCCCTACAGCCCTGCACATCCTGAAGCTTGTGCAACTTTTACAGCCTTAGGTTAGGCATGAAGGTCATCTTTGGAAGTCTGTTCCAAACTAAAGCTGAATCTGGTCTCATTCACACCCTCTTTGCTCTGTGAGTTGCTCACAACCACTTTCAAAAAGTATCAAGGCACAGGAATGAACTAAACAACAGAGGACTTGGAAGAGCTCTTGGATCTGGAGCGACTTCTGAAGAGAGCTGTGGTGAAAAGCACCTGATCTTCAAGGGGTACCACCAGAGCAAGTTTGTATTGTGTATCTGCTCTCAGGAGGCTTTCACACCCCTCCACCAAACCCAGTTTGTTTTCTACGCTGTTCCAGTACATAGTTTTGTTACTATGAGCACAGATAACTGCAGAGACTTATGAGGTAAGCTGCAACTTCCAGCAGACATGACTAGGCTCTGATACAGGTTCTGAAAGGATTCCTAGTAAAGAAACTTACATGACAGCAGTAAAAAGAGGCTGATGTAATCGGTGAGACACACACCCAATTTCTTTCACAGCTGCAGGAGAACATTTCCTCCAGGACGAAGGAAGGCACTTGATGCAGACATTTGATTCCAACTAGTTAATTTTCAACCATTTTCTGCCAATAAAATGACACTGCAATAGTTTCTACCCTTCTCACACTGCAGTTTTGGAGCCAGAGGCTACAGTCACCTTCATATCCGTTTATAAAGAGCAAATATATCTGACAAACTATGGAAGACAGCATCTTATGCTACTTAAAGAGAAAACCCATTACAGAGCTAAGCTATTCTTTCCCCCTTTCATACTATAGTTATAATAGGCCACAAAACAAACCAACCTCCCCATGAAATTTTAATTACAGCTGCCTCAGAAGTGTCCCAGGGATGTATTTTCAGAGAAGATGTATCTGACAATTACCAGCAGAAAAGCAGATCTTGTTTTCAGGTGAGTGGTAGAACAAAAGTGTGAGAATTTCTACAACATACAGAGTTTGTGTCTTGTGAAAGTTCAAATCTCTTAAAGGAAGCATAAAACTACAAAGCATTACCTTCAAAGTTATCTGGGTTTACGTTAAATCTTCATCTGACCACAATGAACATATTAAGGCACGTAAATTAATGGCAGAAAAAATAACTGAACCAACGAGACTGATTTTTGTTCAGGAGAGTGGAAAGCACCTGTACTTTTCCCATCTAATCTGTGGGACGTGGGATTGTTTTTATGGTGATGTCAGCTTCCAGCATCCAGCAGCGAGAGCTTCTGTTCAACTATGTCTGCCACCAAATTCATATTACAGCCCCGAAGGGCTTTTATTAAGTCAGTCACCTTTGCATCTTTTCCTTTCCATTTCTGCCACGCTCGCAGGGACTGGAACAACTGTTCATGCAAGTTAAATGGATTGGCTGCCACTATTCCATCAATTTTCACTTCAGAAACGCCAAGTTTTCTCACCAGCATCTTCCAGTTTCTCCCGACATTTTCACATATGACTTCAAAAGCCATGTTCTGAAGACCTGAAATAGCAGAAATGTGTGGAGTTAGCGATGGATTTACTAAGAACTTCAAAGTTGGTCGAGGTTTTTTTGCTATCAAAACACTACCACTCTTGCTGAATCGCACATACTTAGGTCACAGCAAGTTCTGGAAACCCACTGGATATACTCGGAATCCCAAGTACACAGCACGAATTTCAATCTGATTAAAAAGGGAAGAAATTTCCCCCCCAGAAAGCCATTTGCAGCATATGCTGCCCTCATGGTAGGTCTGAAGGGTACAAGACACTCCCATGTGGCCGGGGAAGCACCCTCAGCAGTGGGCTCGGCTACAGCAGCTGAGGGCAGCCGCGCTCTCTTGGCTCTAACCATACCCAACAGCCAAGGGATGGACACACACATAATGGGGTTGTTTGGGGGGGAGGGAGGATTAAAACCAAATGAATCCACGTACGTTTTTCATGCACATCTGGTTGATCATCAGAAGCATTAACTTCTCCTTCCTCTCTGAACTGCTTCAGTTCTGCGATCAAATCTTCTCTTTTAATCGTCTTAAAAAAGTCTTCAAGCAACGACGTCTTGTCGCTCGCGATCAGCCGCTGCTCGAGGAGGATGACGAAGATCTCCCCGGCGCTTTGGGCTGCCTCAAGCTTCCTCTTCCCAATATCCTTCTTCAAGAGAAACTTGAAGGAAGAGAGCTCGTCTTCCGACAGCCTCGAGGAGAAAGAGTGCAGCAGGACCAAGAACG